ATTAAATTTATTTAAAAATTTTAAAAAAAATTAAAAAGTGTAAACGAGTTCCAAATAAATTATTAAAGAATTAGAAATTTTAAAAAAAATTATTTAAATATGAGGGTATATTTATTATTTCACAGTTTTCTATTGAGAAATTTGATGAAAATGAATAGAAATGATGGTTTGCGTAATCAAATGTGTAATTAATAGTGAAAATACCAAAAATAAATAAAAGGTGGTGACGTTTTTCGCAACAATGTTGAAAGGTATGAACATTATGTACTAATTATCCTTTTAATAATTTATTTGGGACTGATTTGCGCTTTTTAATAAAATTTAGGACTATAATTACAATTTTTTTCTTTTATTTTATTTAAAGAGAAATGTATAATTGTCATTTTACAATTTTTAATTGGGAAAATGAATGAAAGTGACCTTTCTCCTAAAAATCGTCCAATGGGACAGTGTCAAGCTTACCATGAAATATTCTTCAATGAATTTTGATTTTAGCTTATGATCCTTTCAGTTTTGTTCTGGGATTTTATTTTTGATATTCGAGTTGCTAAAGTAGGGTTTTAATTCTAGCTTCCATGCATCGATTTGACAAAAAATATTTTTTGAATGTCTTACCCAGATAAGTCAGCAATTGGAAGAAAATTTGCACGCTGGTCACGGAGTTATTTTTTCTTGTACTCTGGAAGCTGAACCTTATCATGGCAGTGGAGATAAGATCAAACTGCCGCCTTCTTCTTTTGTGGAGTTAAATGAACGAGGGGCTTTTGACAAAGGACCACTACAAATCTCTTTGCCCTCGCTTCGCGAAGAGGGTGCTGGAAAAGAACAGTACAGGATGACACATGCTGGTTTAATGGAGTTCACTGAAGAGGAAAGTTCTGTAGCACTTCCTCCACACACTTGGAGCAACTTATTCCCTGCAAGAACTCTCAAGTCTTCCATGGTGGAAGTACGTTATGTTTGGCTCCCAAAAGGAACTTACGCTAAACTTTTTTCTGACATTCCCGAACACAAAGCAGTCCTGGAAACAAGCCTTCAATGTTGGGAAATTTGAAGACTTCCACTTAAGGGATCAGAGAATAAAGCAACGAACCAAACACTAAACCAGGAAATGGATTTGAAGACGAATACCGATGGCTTGAACACGACAGATGGTTTGCAGGATTTAAACAAGCCTTGTAAAAAATTAACACTCAAGTATTAAGTGTAATTTTCCAAAACTTGAAGAACGCTAAATAATGATTTGAATATGATGAAAAAAATTGTGTTTTCTTGTTGTTTTTGGAATGATTTTTTGTTTTTGAATATGGCTATGGTTTTTGTATGTTTTTAACAATATTATAATGATCTCAAACCACTTATATATAGCCATATAGCCAAGAGACATGACCATACGAAGTGGTGCCAAAAACCCTCCAAAAGCCTCCAAAAATTTGAACAAAACGATCACTAACGGATTTTTTGGCCTTCTATGCAGTCAATACTATGCGGCCACATAGTTCTCTTCACGGCAGAGATTTTAATCCCCTGCGGTCGCATATGCCAAAATTTGGCCTCCCATATCGATTTTCATTCCACATTTTTTCACAATCGTTTTTATTCAACTTTGAACAATATTTTCAACATTCTACAACATGAAACTCTTTCAGAAGGTGATGTACTCACAGTAAATCATGGTGCCCTAACATATCATTTACGCGTTCTTGAGTTGAAACCCTCTTCTAGTGTCTGTTCTAGAAACAGATATCGAAGTCAACATTATGGGTCCCCAAACCACAGAAAAAACAAACCATCATGCGCTGACACCTTAATTCTTATCTTTGGGAAGCCCAACTCTGGAGTGGTTGATGAAGGAAATTATATGTACTACTAGTGTACGCACGTGCAATGCACGTGTTGCAGTTTAGTTGGATATTTAATAGAGTGAAGTGATTCTAAGGTTTTTTTTTACT